AAATTGCACAGGCTAGAAGTCTGAGTATGTCTATTGTTTGATAAGGAATTACTCGAATTTTGGACTGATGCATTAATGGTTGTACCAGCAGAATTTGCTGAGGCATCGCTTGAGAAGACTTGAGACATGCTTGCAAAATGTAAAACAAGAATTTAAAGAAATAAAAGAAAATGTAACTGAGGAACACACAACACAGTGAACTTAAATGGGAAGAAAATGCTTAACTATTCTGCATAAGTAAATAAAAATTGACAGGTCACACTGTAAGCAAGGACACTCACACTAACAAAAGAAAATACTCAACTGAATAAACAACACTTTGAAAATCAAGAGAACTTGTACTTTACTCAAATCTAATTTACTCAAATTTTTACTTTAAAATGAGTTAATGGCACAGTGAGTTGTCTTTACTCTCAATGCAATAGGGAAATTCAGCAATAAAATGATGAAATCAATCAAAAATGTTAAAATGGACTCAATAAATCTTGTGCAAAATTAAAACAAACTGGGAAAACAATTCACTAAAAATAAAATAAAATGGCACACAAAGAATAAAATATTATGCACAGAACAGAGCATAAGAAACTGCACTGAAATAAACTGTAGCAATATTACAAATAACAACTGCTAATCAAAAGTACTGCACAATACTACACAAAATTTCTGCAAGAAAATTTTTAATGGAAACACAATGTTTGCACAAGAATTATTGCAAAATGAGTCAATGTGCAATAATAAAAAAATTACACACACAGGAAAATACAGTTTACAAGAAAAGAAAATATATCAAGGAATGAACTGAGTGAACACTTTAACTCTTAACTGCAGCTTAAGCAAGCACTTACTGAACAAGCAAAAGAACAATTTACTTTAAAGAAAAACTTAAAAATTGCACAAAGAGTGAATTTGTTCAATGAAACAAAAAATAATAGATGCAAAAAAAACACAGAACAAAAGGTTTGAACACTTACAGTGATGCAGAACACAACACATCAATATGAACACAATACTAGAATTTTCTTGCTATGAAACTTGGTGTGAAAAATTTGAAAAATAATTGTCTTGCTTGCACAAAACAATGGTACTATTGTCTGTGGAGATAAGGCAAATTAGACACTGGCTAAATGAAAAGAATTAACACAAAAATGTTCAACACAGAGAAAAATAAAATAAACTGGCAAAAGAATACACAAATGCTGTGAGAAAAATTATAACAGACAACACTGAGTTGTGATGCAGAATACAAGGTAATAAATTACTGAATTACTTCACTGAGATACTGTGAACACAAGGTGATTGTGACGTGTAACACAAATTCTATACTGCTTATATGTTGCACACAAGGAAAAACACTAAGGTACTTACTTCAAGTATATAAAAAAAAGAAGCACAACACAACAGACATAAAATAATAGTACTGAATTAAGAAGAGAAAAAAAAATTATTGCAATCAGTATATAATAAACACTGAGTCTAATCAAGAGTTACTGAATGTCACTAAGAAATCACTGGAAACACAAAAAGAAATGTCTCAACACTCGCAAATGTCTCTATGAAAAAAAATATTATCACTGTAGCGGCGTTGTTGATGGTGGAGGATGGAGGATGATGGTGGAGGATGGAGGTGGAGGATGGTGGCTATCGTCTCGTGGCTGGCTCGCTGCTACTCTCCACGTGATCATAGAATTTTGCGCTTAACTCGATGATGGACTCACACAGGAGGCTTTTAACGATGGTGCCATTGACGAAAGAACACACTCTATCTCTTGACCCCTATGTGGTCCTTAAAATATGGTGCTAGAACCCGTAATAAGAGTACAAAAACAGTGGTAGTGAGTGAGTGAGGCAGGCTGAGGCATGGCGGTGGCGAGACCACGTGGTAACTGGGCCTATGGGATGAACGATGTAAGCCTCACTTGGGACACCCTCACTGGCACGAAGATATTCTAAGCCGGGTCGGCTTAAAACAAACCCACGAAATACCACAACACCACAGGGATGATAAGGCACTCAGAATGGCTTGAACTTGAAACACAAAGCAATGAAGAAGACTGTACCCACGTGGCTTGCTTGAGCACTGGGTTAAGACACCTGGGTTAGTTGCTGGCTTCCTTAGCTTAACCCTTCACACAGAATGGCTTGATAACTTCTAACGATGAGCACAGCAGGGGTGGAAAGCTGGCTTGGCAGGCAAGGCTGGAATGGTGTAAGGCTAGGCTGGCTGACTCCCCCACCACAGACTGTCGTGCTGGTTTGGCTTACTTTGCAAACTCGGGTCAACCCCTCGGGAGTGATGAAAATAAGCAGATAAACACTAATACAAGGAGACTGACCAGTGAATAATGTAGAGAGCTGGTAGATGCTTGGTCGGGTAACTGGCTGGCAAGGACTAGCGTTACCCTTCTCGGCAGGCCTAGCGTCAGATGATTGCGACCGGCTCAGTAAAAATTTATCTCAAGAAATCGCTGTAATAGTCAGAATTACAGGCCCTCCGCTGCCA